AAATTTTTATTACCGTCAATAAACTTTATTAAATAATGTAATTGCCATTATTCGGAGAAGTATTGTCAGCAACTGGATAATTTAAATACAGCAGTCCAAGAAAAGAGGCCGGCGATGTACAATAGGAAGAACATCATACTGCATCATGATAATGCCAGGCCACATGCTGCTTTGGATACTCGTCAAAAAATTGCAGAACTAGGCTGGAAAATTCTGTCGCATCCACCATATTCCCCGGACTTAGCACCCACCGACTATCACTTGTTTTTGTCCTTACAAAATTTTTTGAGGGGCAAAAAATTCAAAAATGAAGAAGATATCAAACAAGCACTGGTTCAATTTTTCGCATCAAAAGATAAAACATTTTTCGAAAATGGGATATACAAATTGCCCTCACGCTGGCAAGAAATCATTAATAATAATGGCAATTACATTATTTAATAAAGTTTATTGACGGTAATAAAAATTTGTATTTTGTTTTATTCCAAAAACGGACAGAACTTTCCGGTAGACCTAATATAATATCTCAGAATAATGGCAATTACATTATTTAATAAAGTTTATTGACGGTAATAAAAATTTGTATTTTGTTTTATTCCAAAAACGGACAGAACTTTCCGGTAGACCTGATAATTCGCAACATTATCACATTCTTTTTTGCGTACGTTATCATAGCGGTCTCTCTCTCTCTCTCTCTCTCCCTCTCGCGTTTGCTCTTTTTCTCCCATTCATGCACTCTTTGTTTCGCTCTCTCTCTCACAAGTGTGAAACAAATTAACTCTATACTGTCCGATTTTTATAAAGGTGAATCACACAAAAACTCTCTTTATATGCGGTTAGAGTGGCGTTGCAAGACTTCCGTTTGGTGCTCCGTGTAAAATGTATGTATATATGTGTCACATTCGCACGGGAAGAAACGAAAAAAATTATATATCATGCACATTCTAGAGAGGAGGAGTTGCGATTCCCCCTTCTTTAACGTCGAATAACGACGGACGTTATTCGACCGACGATAAACGCCTCGTATAAGGAATGCGAGAGAGCTCCTCAGAGAATATTCGGCGGGCGGAGATTATTCGGGCGCAGACACGCTTCGGTAAATAATTTAATATCCTCGTGCACACCGTCGCCTCCGCCGCCGCCCTTGACACCGGAGTTTCGCCCTCGTGAGCACGGACAATATCTGCCTTGAACTCTTCCTTCTGCCGAGTCCGTCCGAGACACATATGTTGCAGATTTCGTCTGGCCATTCTTAAAAATTTTATTCATTCAACAAATGTTATTCTACGATCAGCTGCGTAATTTTTTCTACATTTCGGCTTCCTCGACAAGAACGTATTTTAGCCCGAAATTATATACGATTTGTTCGAATTATAATGCATGCTTTTACACCGAGATTATTTTTGTAATTTTTTTCGCGCGCTTTAAGCAGATGCATCTCTTACGTTTTTTTCTTTTTTTTTATTATCATTAGTTTTATAGCTTGGAACTTAATGATTGTCAACATGCGCTAAAAAATAGGTAGCGGGTTATCTCGAGTAAAGCCGTCTTTCGCGTTAATTTACGGTAACTCGAGTTCAAGGCAGTCATTAGTTTTATGAACTCACTTCTATTAAAGCTTATAGTGTAATTTATATAATATTAAACGAAAATATATACGCACGTAAAAAAGTTGCCATGTATGACGAATATTATCCAAGAGACAGTTATTTTAAATAGAAATACTCATAAAATTTTGCTCAAAATTTGGGAAAAGCACTTTTTATTCTTATATGTCTGTGTTTGTAGCTTTTAAAGACGTTTGATTGTCAATCAAACGTTTATATAATATTAAACAAAAATATGTACGTATAGAAAAAATCTCACGTGTGAATATTATTTGATTAAAATATATAAATAAATTTTATATAAATTTCTATCGATTTATCGCTGCAATAATAACAGAAAATATTGCGTTTGGTTGCGACGCGTACATTCAACTTACCCATTCGGGATTATCATTTTTGATATGTGAATCGTCTCGTAAGTATTTATGATAGCTGGGCACCGTTGCATCAAAGGCGGGAGTCTCTCTCTCTCTCTCTTTCTCTCGAACGAACGAATAAACGAGCGTGCGCTATAATGATCCACGCGGAAATAATTCCGCGACGCATACATTTCCCAGACGCGTATATTAGCCGCCGTATAATTCTAATGGCGACGCTTTTAACGCTGACCTACTTCGCTTCCTGTTTTCTGCGAGAGACACCCCGCGTTTACCTGCGCGAGTTTAATTACTACGAGGAACCTCTCCTGGGAATCTTCCTCACGCCGTGCCGCGGTAAAAGAGTACCGGAAGGAATCAACAACGGCGCGGGGTATTCAACCTTCTCCGCGTCGATCGTGTGGACAGATTTCGCGATACGAAAGGTTACGATACCGGTATGAGACGCAGACGTGAGATGTTATTTAAACTCCTTTATACTACTTGCTGTCTATCTGGAAGTCGGAATCATCTTTGAAAAACTGTTACATTTGATACACTATCTTTAATTCAGCCCCGTCTCTAATTATCAATTGGCATGTAAAATGTTTTACACGTCTGAGAAAAATAGTTCATATTCAATCAAATATAAAAATATATAATTATATATAAAATATGTCTATATGTATTTTTTCTTCTATATCATTTCTGTCCGTATATACAAAAAAAAAATTAGAAGAATAATTTCTGCATTTTTTTTTTTTTAGAGAAAGAATGATATTTGAAAAAATGCGAAAATATTGCCCACCTAAATCATATATAAATGTATAAAATTACATATGTAATATTATATATTTATAATCTACTTGCAATTTTACTTTGTCTTTAAAAAAAAAAAAAAAAACGAATTTTTCTAATTATTTTTTTATTATTATTCTTATTATCATTCTTATTATCTTTCTTACATAAACGGACAGAAAGTATAAAAGCGAAAATGAACATATATTCCATATGTATTCATTTATGTAATTATATATATTTATGTATGATTAATATAGACTTTTCTCTTTCTTGGAGAGAAACTTTATCATCCTCACTAATAGGAAATACTAATAGAAAAAAAATAAAAAGAAGGCTAAATATTCTTAATCATTTGAATTGCCGGATAATAGAATGATTTATCTTTCTGCTATTAAATTACCGTTTATTGAAATTAAACTAACACCAGAAATTGTATAATTTCTTTTTTATTATAATTTATTAAATTTTGCAAATATATTTCAAAAATTTCCCGATGTTGCAATTTCAATTAATAAAGAAAAATGTATAATTATAAAATTTTAAAATGAATTTCGATTTACATATTTTGAGAATTTTTTCATATTGCAAACTTAATGAAGGGGGGAATATATTTTAGAAAATATAATAAAGATCCATACAAAATATTGACGAATTACTCACAAGTTAGCAAAAAAAAAAAAAAAGAGAATTATGAGGGGAGCAGAGAGTTAAAACTTATAAATCCAATTCATAGTTTCTTAGGGACATTTTAAATATGAAATTGTATCTGAAAAATGTGAGAATGTCACGAATTTCGAACTTGATCCAGAGTTTCGAACGCGTCATACACATATAAGGTGAGAAAAAAACGACGATACGATATCAAAAGCGATGTCAGAGTCCGTCACGGACGCTGATCGGAACGATGTGATTTGAGTACACGGCCATAGGAAGTGGGATGGTCGCCGGAAGTTCTCCCCCGAAACATATGGTGGAGGTTTTCTCTTTCTCTCTCTATGCAAAGACACATACTCGTTTGTGTTCTCCCGTTTCCTGCGCGGCTGGCCGGTGAAAAGAGCATGGCAGCAGTTTACAAGTGGCGGCCGTCCACTTATGCACGCCGCGACCGCGCGTGATAAGCTCTCGTTACGCCGATGGTGATAAAACTAGATTACGCGCGAGATCCGCGCTCGCGCGCGTTTAAACTCCCGTGCGGTGCGTTCAGTTTTGTAAAATCCAAAATGTTATCTAGAATATATATATATAATTTTGATGTCATATCGGTATCATACAAGTGGTCTTACATAATTATGCATGGTGTCTATTTCCTGGAAAAGTATGGAAATCCTGGAATGTTCAGAGATTTCTTTTGTATCTAAAAAAAGTCAGGGAAATCTCATGGAATTTTATTGGGAATTTAGGGAATTTAAAAAAAAATTCTCTGTTTGATAATTTTATATTGTAAGCAATCAGCAAATCAAGTGAATTATAGTGTTCAAAATATATTATAAATTAATATCAATCTTTCTATTTATATATATTTAATGTTCTAACAAAATATTGAATATGCAGTACATATTATCTTTATTGAAATTTTTAGTGACAAAAATTTATGCAAGTGGAAAGTGTTTATCTTACGAAAGCTATCTAGTTGTTTTTTTTTTTCAATATGTTTGCAAATCTAGCATTTGAAACTTAAATGGCCCTGTGTTTTTTCTTCATATGATTGAAAAATATTAGTAAACTCATACAATAAAAAAATTATTTTAGAAAATTGCATCAAAAATCCTTAAAATATTCTCTTTACCTGAAATTTTAAACAAAAATATCAGAAAGATCAGGGAATTTTTTTTATAAGATTTGAGTAGATACTCTGTTATGAATTGTATAATTATATTGCCGCGATGCAGTCGAAATAGCCAATTAATTCAGATAACCTCGGAGTCGGCCTCGAGTCTCCGACGTTGGACAATAGTGAGCGCGAATATTTCCAAGCGTCACATTTCCACGTCTTTTTTTTTCAACAAACGCCGCACGAGAGGCCTCTCTTTTTCCCGTGATATCATAGTTACGCGCGACGGAACAAAGAGCGGCGGGCGGGGGATACGGTACGGTGAAGGTAGGAAAGTGATACGGATATCTCTTCTTTTCTCCCTGACGCTGCTATAGGGAAGCACGCGTTTCACCTGTTTCGCCGATGCACAGGAAGCCGTAGACGCATCGTCGTCGTCTCAGTCGCGTGTTTACATTGAGAGCAGTATGATGACTGCTGTGTCAATGTAGCGGAAAAAAAAAGAGTAACGTTGTAATCACGGTTCGTTCGCCTCGATATCGCTACCGGTTTTTTTGTTTTTTTTTCTTTGTAAAAAAGTTTAGCGATAATTTCCGCGAGATCAGTTTTACGTCACTGTAAGGTGTTATTGAGAACAATTAAATTTGTATGTGAGTGTTGTCGGCTACAGGCGAAGTGAGTCTTGCAATTATTAACAGATATAGCGATGATCTGTTCGGTTGATGAAACGTCTTTATTGCTGCGTCGCGATGAATCAGCGAGATGATTCCATGGTGAGTTTCTGTGTAAAACTGGAGCAATGAACGCGTTATCATCGGATGTGAAACCAACATCCTGTGGTTCCATGAGGAAAAGCTGTAGTAAAGTCTAATGGATTGCTCCAGTTTCTAGTGAACTGAACAGCAATTGAGGAGAATAAGGATAATCGCGGCGAGCAAAGATTTGAATAATAAAACATAAATCTGTGATATCTCTCGATCGGATTTTACAAAATGATATCGACAAATTGGAACAAAAAGAAGATTAAACAATGAGTTGAGGAAAAAGCATTTATCCGCATTTTGCGAATATTCGTTATTTTATAGAGTTTCTACTCTCTGGGAAAACATAAAAGACCTGGAATTGTCAGGGATTTCTTCTAGAAAAATCAGAAAATTTCCATGAAATTTTACTGACTTAAGGAATTTGAAAAAAAAAATTTTCTTTGATAATTTAGCTTTTATATTGTAAACAGTCGGCAATTCGCCAATAAGTCAAGTTGAGAATTATGTATTTAAAATATATTATAAATATATACTTATCTCTCTATTGATATATATTCAATGTCTTAACAAAATATTGAAATTTTTCTTTCACATAAGTGAAAAGCATTAAAAAAAGCATACAATAAAAAAAACTTATTTTAGAAAGTTGCACCAAAAAATCTTCAAAATCTTCAAAATATTTTCTTCACCTGGAATTTTAAATAAAAATATCTCGAAGATCAGGGAATTTTTTTATAAAATTTGAGTAGACACCTTGTTTTAGTGCACGATGAATAAAACTGTACTAGTGAAACGTATATAATTAAATCGAAAGTTAATTCAGAATATTATCGGCGAAACCGGACTTTTTATTCGCGCTTTCGAATTTTACGCGCCTGTAGATAGGCGAGAAAATTCCGATGCTTTATCAATGGCATTTAGAATAGCCAGAATGATTAATCGTGAATGACATGCCGTCCACGAGACGAGCACAGTGCACCGAGGACTGCAGGTGTATACTGTGTCGCGAGTTGAAGGGCTACAAAATGAGCGCGAACGCCATCGAGATTCAGCAGCAGATCGGCAACGAGTGTGCTAACTTTATCCTGCGACGTGCCATGCCCTTTTCGTCGAAGGCCCCCATGTTTCGAGGGGAACGGCAGGAAGTCGTTACGAAGTGCGACGATTACGAGAGGAGCTCGACCTTGGAGGATCGAAGTCGCCGTTGCGGCGGCGATCAGGTCGTAAACGACAGTCGTGACTCGAAGATGGGGAAGGACGTCGGTCACAAGACGGTCATCTATTTCGGCGATTCAAATCCGAGACGAAGGGAAGATAGAGCGAGACAGCAACCATCGCCGGAAGCGACGTCGAGATGCAAGAATGAGGATCCCGAGGCTTCGCCGTTGCGACCGCGTAACGACGAGATTCTCGGCGACTCGATGGACCAGGATGATGAGAAGGGCGATGCCGGACGACGAGATTCCGCGATGGAGAACGGCGATCCCAAGGCCGTGCACGAGATCGTGGTGAACATCAGCCCTAGCAGGGAAGACGTGCTGAGGATAGAGGAGGACGAGAGCCAGCTGGAGGACTATTGGTCCTTGCCGGGGGACACGAGCGGGTTCAAGGCGGACTGGAGCTTCGTGCAGCAGTGGCGGCTGAGAGGGTAAATTTACGCTCGTGCTCTCGCACGCTTATCGCCGTTGAAGGGAGAAGAGTGGATATTGCCTTTCGGCGAGTCGGGATTTCTTCTCTCATTGCCCGCGTCCCTTTGCGATAACGTATTATTTCTGCAGATCGTGTTTGCTACTTCGCGTCTATGCTAACGAAGGAAGCTGATTAGCCCATTAATATTTTATTTTTGAGATATAAAATTTTATTACAAATAAAATAGTTTTAATATTGATAGAGAGAATATTTTTTTGTAATCTTATTGTTATTGTATTTAATAGAATATTAATTTTTTATATTTATTTATGGAATATATTTGCAAAGAAAATAAGTTTATAGAATATACATATACATATTTCTTTCATTAAAAATGGCTTAAACGATGATTAAGAAAATAATTGTTTCCTTGTATTTCATAAACTCTTAACGAGTCGCACTAAAAAACGTAATGCGAAAAAAAATATATTGGAGGGATAAAAGAGATCGATCTGTATTATAAGATTTGTAATGTCGAGGAAAATAAAATTATAACTTTTTATTGTTTTCAGTTATAAAATAAGATATATTCGTACATTTATCTCCTCAAACGGAGAACTGCATATATAAACATCGACTTTGAAGAGATTCAGCACTCTGTGTATATTTATATGTAATATAACACATCACGATCGGACAGTTTGCGTTTGAAACTCTTATCTTTGCGTTCGTTTAATTTTTTGCTCGCGGATGATAGACGTCTATTCCTACATAAAACGTCATCATCGTGCTCTGTTTCGAATCGATATCATCGTAATGGGAGACGTGCGTGTAAATCGCCGTGTTAAGGCGCCTTGAATCGGCATTAAATTCAATTACGCGAGTTGTTTTAAGAATCGTAGCTGCAATCTCGCCGATTTATTTTCCTTCATACAAACGATCCGTTCTTCTCGCTCTCCGAGGAAATCCAGATGATGCGTTGCTAATGCTCGAATTCCGACGTTGATGCCTTCCGAAGTCCATAATAAGGGCATTCGAGTTTAATACCTTGAAGATAATTTCATCATTCATCTTCTTTAAAATTCTTTTTCGCAGAATAAATGTCACTTTTTTATTTCAAGCATTAGATAATGTTTTTTATAAGTGAACAACTTTATAACTGAACGCTTTCAATAAGGTATAATAGCATAATAAAATAAAAATGTGTAATATACTTCTGTGTTAAATTGCAACAAATGGAGAAATCCTTGAGATACACAAGTAGTTGTACGAGATCTTTTTTTTATAAAATATTTTTTTTTTATAATAGAATATATCTTATTTGTGATCTGAAATTGCGCGCAACATCGTGGAATTCTTAGAATATATTAATATACTATTTATTTTATTTATTTATAATAATATAAGATTAATGATTCATTTTTCTATTGCTGGATTAAATTTGATAGTTTTATTTAATTCGTGATAGTATACCGTTTGGATAATCGTAGAGTTTGGATTGATCCATTCTTGAAACAGTCGTGTATCTAAAAAGAAAAATGCGAGGAGCGGATTAAATGACCGCGCATTTTTCACATAATCGTATGCCATAACCGGGAATTGATTTGTTTGATACGCTACCTGCATTGCTGCGTTTTCCGCGTATTTCTCCCGTATCTCTCGGATACCGCGAACGTACGGCTTGCGCAATGCAACCTTAATGTTGGATTTGAAAGTTGTCGAAGCCAAGTCCCCCTCGACATCGATATCGACCAACAATAGTCGCGCGATCGAATATAATAGCGTTCATTTGAGAATTTCGAAACGCGCGCATTTCGATATCGTATTTTTATAGTTGCACCCTATAGACGAGGAACGCGCGTACCTTTAACTCGATTTAATTACGCGAGTAGACATGTTGTTGGCCTAAATAATTTGCCAATCGTGATAATTGTTCGTGCGTTTCTGATAAAGCGTTGCATTTTCCCTCAACTCTTTCGATATCGCTTTCCCGAAATACGCGAAATAATTATATACATCGTTATATTTTGAAATACAGGGTGTCTACTTCCTGGAAAAATATGGAAAATCTGAAATATTTATTTTTCAGAGATATCTTTTGTACCTGGAAAAACTCTCAAGGAATTCTCATAAATTAATAAATGTAAAAATATGAATGTGCGTTTACCGAAAATATTTGATAAAGCATGACCAATTCGAGATTATTATATGTACAACAATATTTGATAAAACATGAATAAATTCGAGATTATTGTGTGTATTGGCGCATTTTTTAATTTGATACATTTAAAGTCAAAGTGCGTTTCACATTCTTCGCATTTTTCAGCCGCGGGCGAAATGAATTTTTGCGCAAAAATGTCTTATACATCAGCATGGCATATCCCAGGGTAAAAAAAAAACCTTTCTGAGTTTACATCGTTACAACGGTTCATAAGTAACGTGAGTCTCATTCCGGCAAGATGAGCATAGTTCCGTTTATTCGTGGATAGCTTATCTCTCGAGAGTCTCGAGAAATAAGCCATAGAAATCAAACACGGCGTTAACATGTTAGACTTATGATATTTTCGAGAATGTAAATTGTACAGGGAGAGGGAGAGAGAAATTCTTTTTTTCACGGAATGTGTCTGTTTCGTCTGCGACATTATGCAGTTCCTCACGGGAGATAAGGCAATCGCTCGAAAGCAAGCCATAATTATTCCTTCGACAATTAAGGAGGCGCCAACCTATCCGACAGGATATCACGTATCATTCGAGAGAAACCTATATACTGGATGATTCTAGAACATGCTCGGCACAGACTACGACGACGAGGATATTTTTTTGTTCAAATCGGAGTCGATTTCTCTTTAGTATAAAAATTTGTTTTTTTTAAATATCTTGATACAAGTAACTTGATCGAATTAAAAAATATATTTTGATAAAATAAATTCTATTAAAAATTAAATATATAAAAGAGAGAATATAAAATTGTTTAATTTTATTGCCGAGACTTGGCGAAAAAATTTTTATCTCATTCATAAAAATAATCAACGTCTTGATATTTTTGTTGAGAAAAAAAAAATCAATTTCAAGCAAGTTCAAACATGTATCTGTAAATTTCATGACACTGGTGTCAAGAGATTTTATATTCCTCGCCCACGCGAAACATGTTCGAAGATATTTCACCTGTACTTCTGAGAAAGTCATCGCGTACATTCGTTTCTGTTAGTTCCATTTATCTATTCTTTCATAGCATAATAATGTAATTACAGATGAAGAGATTTATGATAAAAATATCCGAGACATCTTATCGCACGCGCGAACATAATCTTACTATATTATCTTATGCAAAGTAAGCAGGAATTTCTTTCTATGAGACAAGAAATGTGTTCCCCCCTCTCATGTTGGATATAAATTAATCTTATAAAGCTTTCAGTCAGTTTGTTATTACATACGACATTAATAGAATATTATACATACTTATAAAAGATTTATAAAGCTTTTAACGAAATAATATTCTACTTACAGAACATAATTGATATAATATTTCTCAGTTTTAATAAATTTAATAAAAATTTTTAAAAATATATATAATTTAATAATATATAGTACAAAAATAAAAGTAAAATATATT